TGGTACTCACAATATGATCCCGCGTCCCGGCCCATCATGAGCCCCTTGGTGGGTACCGGCTCCTTGAGCAGCCCCTGGTCCTTGATGGCCCCAAAGATTTGGCTGATTGGGTAGGCCAGGGGTGCCGGTCCTAGGCTCATATGGGGGCCATCCCCTGTGTGTTCCTGTGCGGCCCACGGGACATACCCGCCGACCGTCTTCTTCTTTTTCAGGGGTGGCGATTCCACCGGTCCGGGACCCAGTCGGTCTGATGCCTTGCGCGCAGCGGGGTTTGATGCTCCGTCCCGTTGTGAGACCTCTTCCTCTATTGCCGCGAATTTGTGCGCACGGGCCAGCACCTCGGCGTAGTTGTTCCCGGGGTTCCTCTTTAAATCCAGATAAAGGTCCCCGGTCGCCAGTGCATTGGTGAAGAGGGTGATGCCGGTGCTCTCTGGAAGATCCTCCACCTTCAATGTCTCATCCCTCCACCTGATCATGAAGGCAGATATGGATTCCCCCTTATTCTGGCGGACGTTCGTCAGCCAATTGAAGTGCTTCTTTGGCGTGGAGATGGAGGCGAATTGAGCCATGAACTGCCGGGAGAGTTGTTCAAAGTTGTCGATAGATCTGGGCCTGAGCTGCCCGAACCACTCTTGTGCTGGCCCTCTAAGGGTGCTGAAGAAAAGTCTGCACACGGCCTCATCGGAGCCTCCCAACATGGAGAGCGTCCCTTGATAAGACAGTAGATGGGCTTTGGGGTCCCCGGCTCCGTCATAAGTTAATGTTCCAGGGGGGCGAACGTTCCGCGCAATGTCTACCGCCATAACTCTGTCGGTTAAGGGGGGTGAAAGAGCAATCCTGGGCTGGGCCTGAGTGTTCTCCGTCCGGCGATTCAGCTCATTTATTTGCCTCTGCATATCCAGGAGCATGGAATCCCGTGGATCAGTCCCAACAGGCGCGGGGGTTACTACTGCCAAGGCGTCTCCTCTTGGTGCAACGCCCTGATTGTGTTGGCCGAGGTGCATTCGGGTCTCCGCCGCCATGCCGCTCATTACGGGGGTATGTTCCCTAGCCGTTCCCCCACCGCGGGGCATGACCGGCGTGGGGTCCTGAAACGTGTGGCGCTGTGCTCCTCTGAAGGGCCTAGCCCCCGTGCCCCCCCCCCCCTCCTACCCGGAGTGCGGGTGTTCTGGGTTATTCTGGAATGGACCGAACGGCGGGGATTTCTATTCTCGCCAGTGTGTTCGGTGAAAGACTGCATGGGACGGACGGGTGAGAGCGGGGTGCGCTCAGTATTGGCGGTGTATACATGCTCTTCCTCCCGCTGATCCGCCAGTCGGCGGATACTATCCGCAATATCTCGCAGTGCGTGGGGGTCCCTGCGGAGTTCCTGTGGAATCAGGTCGGTGAGCATCCTGAAGTCCCCTCGGCTCCATAGACTAGTGGATTGGGCCCCTGCCGCCTGGTTACGACTCCTCCTGTTGTGAGCCAGTCGTGATGATAGATCTTGAGAATTGCCCACGTTGTTAGTGTTCATTTTGTTTGCTTTTTGGTTGTCTTAGAAATTTTAAATGGAGAGCTTGAAAAAAGATCTTTTTGATCAGTTTCCCACAGACGGCGCCAGTGTTGAGGTTTATTCCCCTCAACCCACAGGCCCAACACGTAACCTGAGGGTTTCGAATGGGTAGAAGGCAAATGAACTCACTAAACAAACGGGGGTGGATTTAATAACTGTTTTCTTCAATATTATGATTACAAGCCGAAAGGCCGAACGTACTGAAGATATGTTACGTACTGCTGACGCTATTACAACTCTAGAGTAACAATCTGCGAACCCTTTACAATGAAATAAATGTGACTATTTATAGTACCCCCTGGTGGTTGGGGGACTGACGTGGCCGGCTGTGGGCGACATGATTCCAACCACCAAATCTTCTGCATTAAATGCGCTTCCCGCCAAGATCTTGGTTTCCCGCCATAATGCGGGCGACGTCCGTCCCCTAAATTGGACTCAACTCTTTAGTGGCAACCGGGGCCTTCAGATATAGCCCACAAGACGTCCCTCCCCTGGTCCTTGGACCATGAGGCCTGGCTATACTGGGCTACGTACGTCCCCTGGCCCTTGGACCTTGAGGCCTGGCTATGCTGGGCTACGTACGTCCCCTGGCCCTTGGACCTTGAGGTCTGGCTATGCTGGGCTACGTACGTCCCCTGGCCCTTGGACCTTGAGGCCTGACTATGGTGGGCCACGTACGTCCCTTGGTTCTTGGGCTTCAGGGGTTGATGGGCCGATCCTGGAAGGCCATTAACCCAACAAGTCTAATATTCGGAATCGTGATCTCTGCTTCATAACTTCTAATTCACTTTCTTTTTGTTTATTTTTTCTTTTATTTATAATCAACTCCTATGAAATTTTCATTGAGCATCAAACCTCCTCTATTGAGATCGATGAAATTCACGATTTCTGTTAAATGAGCATTAACGAATTTTTAATGAACATCAAACATATACAAATGAGCATATGTAACTTACAAGATGAGCATTGATATGAAAATTGTAAGTTTTGTTCGTTGAACATCAAGACATTTTCAGTGAGCATCAAACCTCCGTTATTGAGTATTAGAATCATGCCATTGAGTATCATGATTTGTGGTCTCGTGTCTATGATCAAATTCTATGTGCACTAATGTAATATGAGACTTTTGAGATATGCATTGATATACTAGTAACATTTTAAAATGAGCATAACATATGTACTAAATGGACATACATAACTTACAAAATGAGCTTTCAAAAATTCAAAAGCTCATTTGTGTATGTTCATTCTATTTATGTGTTTTACTCATTTTAGTTTAAAATAACACTCATTTCTAATGTGCTAAGTATTAATATATAAAGCTGAACATTCAATTAATTGAATCATTAAAGCTGTGAGTTAAAAGGGAAAATGAGAAAGTTGCAGGCTCTGAAAAATACAATAATTGCGGATGATATTTCTGAAGCTCCGATGTGTGGCGTAGCAGAGGAAATCGAGTTATCCAGAGCTCCAATGGGTGGCGTAACAAAGGAGTTGAGTTATCCAGAGCTGCTGCAGAGTCCGCCAGTGAACGAGGAAGATGATCAGCGCGATTCTATGTCGATGACTGAGCGAGGAAGATGATCGACATGACTTTATGCGAATGACTGAGCAAAGAAGATGATCGGTAATGCAGAGGTTAGGGATGAGAGGATGATTAATTAAAAGGCTTAAAGTTGATAAATATTACAAAAAAAAGGTGTACATGTACACCCAGGTGTACGATATAAATTGCGAAAACCAAATTATGTTACCCCTTAAGTTTGTACGGAGTATTAATTTATATTAACTAATAACGGTGGGAGATAGATCCGTAAATCTGTAACCCAACCCCTCTGCTATATAAGCAACAACTAGACATTTTCGTTGCCGAGGGTTTTGAACAGTGGTGATCTATTTATGAAAAGAAAACTCAGTCTAGTCTATTTTTGAAAAGAGAACTGTAAAATGAAAAAAGTTATATTATTTTCAGCGTTAAGGTTATTTGTGAAAATTTCCCAAATTTCATTGGTGGCAAATTATTTTCTCATAAAAAATTATCTAATTATATATTAAAAATTAGAAATGTTATTGGGGGCACTTGCACCCACTACTCTACAAGTAGATCCGCCCCTGTCTAGTAGGCTTGAGGGTCCTGGAGAGCCTTGGCCACGGTAGCCTCTTTTGATCCTTTTAGTCTTTCCCATTTCTGAACTGGTAGTAGTGTCTAGTAGCGACGAGGGTACTAACTTGATTGTTCTTTGTCTCTAAATGAAAGCATCAAGTGATAGCTCACCGGTAAATCACTAGTGGTATTGTAGAGAGAGAAGGGAGAGCTACGAGTTAGAGATAGAAAGTAATATGATATTAATGAATTCGAAAGTGTTTACATCTTTCCCAAGGAAATATTTGTACTAGTAATAAATGAGTGGTGCATTAAATGCAAGTACACATGTAAGCTAATCTATGGGCAAGAGGTAGAGAACCCTGAGGTGATGCAAAAAGCGATGTGTGTCATTCATTAACCGACTGTCGAGTAAATGTCTACTCATTGGACGAGGTGACATAGGTCGAGGTGTGTGTGCCCCTCATCATTGGTGTTTCCCTTGTATATGAGTGATGATGTCTTGATATATGTCTTTGGACGATATGTCACTAGCTGAGTTGACTAGTACAGACAACGGTGTTCTGTGTAGTTTTGATTGGCTTCGACTTCGACTTCTCTTTCTTGTGTGCGTACTTATCTGGCCAAGGGGCCCAAATGAGGGGGATACGCTTGTCCTTATTTGGCCAAGGGGCCCAAATGAGGGGGATACGCTTGTGTATCTCAAAGTATGTATGTTGTGAGCCTAAGCTCATATACTCTATCAATGCATTTGTTGTTTGTTGCCATTGGTTGTTGATTCTTACGTTGTGAATTCGAAATTCAAATAATATAACTACTAAGTAAGGCGTGGAACATTTGTTGTTTAAATTCGATTTATCTAACTCTAGTAAATGAATTCATTCGAATATAATGCAGACATATTTGCATTCATAATATTCATAATAATTTTTTAAAAAATGACAACTGAAACCAGCCTGCCGTGTACCAGTCTCGATTCACCCCATCCACCCCCATGGCCGGCTGGTCAGGAATCAGAACCAGCCCAGAGCTGATGAGATCCACCATTATGACTCGTATGTAAAATTGTATACTCCATACAAATAACTCACAATCGAGCAGTTTGCGAATTTTTCAAATCAAAATTATATACTCCGTATAAATAAGCTTGGCTTGATTTGGTTCGAATTGGATTCGAGTTTGGATCAAGTTTGAATCAAGTCGTTCTCGAGTAACTTGCAAGTCATGATGCCTGATTAGCAAGTATTGGTTTTTTTATCACGCCTCATTTTATTTTTCTAATTTTTGTTTCATACAAATGAAATCAATAGACAGAGCCACACAATGTATTGGTGACTTGGTGTTCAAAAATCATATGGGAATGACACAACTATATCCATTTCTTTCGAACTTGATGTAAGAAAAACATACTCGTACAATTGATAACAGACATGTTAATGCTCCGTAATAAACATGAAGTGATCGACTTGTGCATCTACCTATGCTATCTTCGAATACAAAATATGAATCTCTAGTTTTTAAATTTGCGAACATGTTGTCATCTGATTGATCTTAGTGTCATAAGAGTGAATCCACCAAGGAAAATGCTACTAAGCCAAGACAAACATTTGCACCTGAGAGTCACTTCTCTTATAACCGTTGTGCAGGCACCTGTTGTTCGACTGCACCTGAGAGGGACTTCTCTTATAACCGTTGTGCAGGCACCTGTTGTTCGACTTCAACTACGCCAAGCCGAAGATCTCTCCAAATCAACATCTTCTTCCCACCATGTCGCAGTCTGCCAACAAACGAATTAATCAACCGAATTTCCATCGTCAAGCAGTGAGTAGAATCTAGAGAGGAGAATCCCACCTACCTTATATCCTCTTCGAAGAAAGCCAAGTGAGCTTCCAATCTCCTCCTCAAGGCCGATAACCCGCAATAGCTCTTCTTTTGTCTGCCACCATAACAAATAAACCCAAAGGAATCACATAATCAACCATATCAAGACACTGGAAGACTTTAGTGTGTTGGAGCCTACACACACTTACTTCTCCCAGTGTGAATCGAGATTCACTCTCCGCTACACAGGCAAAAGAACCATCTGATTGTTTCAACATCACCTGCCACGGGCCTGATGTTCATAATAATAGCATGTAAGTTGAGACAACAAGTTGTTGCTGTTCCTAGAATTCGCCAAAAGGCAACAAACCATGTAAGGTGCATGCATAAAAGTAAGTACCAGGGTATAGACGAAGTAGAGCTCCACTATAGTTTACAATATACGGCGCCACCGCGACAGTCTTCCCACACGAAAATCGCAAGCATTATTGTTAACTTTATTGGTAAAAAAAAACAAGCCATTTTTTAAGAAGAAACTCAAGATTACAAGCTTGGGATGTACCTTTGAATACTCGCGAGTTCGAATGTAAAATACCGGGGTAAATTGAGAAAGGAATCGATAATGCAACTGTTTGGGTGGAAATCCCAAAAGACCTAGGTCAGCACTGTAATTTTTCCAACAGAAGACAACTAAGTCATCATAAAGAAGGGATTCAAACTCAAATTAAATAAATTAAAAAATAAACATTACAAAAAAAGAAATTAGAATATACCGCAAAGTGTCAAGTTCTAGATTAAACAGCAGAGTAGGGGTGGAGGTTGCAAACTTTTCCTGCACACTCCAACACACGGAAAATAATGAAAAAAGCTAAAATTATAGGGCAAAAGCTTTCAAAAAATGTATACATGTAGAAAGCTCGGTTTATATACAATGCCATGATCTACCCATTTTGCTTTCTAATGATTACAATTATATTTCTTTAGATGAGTGGATGTTCAGTAACACCTGGTGGTACAGATGACATATTTGTCATCACTCGGTCTGGCTCCGTATTTACTGCAGTAATTATTCAATGTTTAAATACAGAGCCAGACCTGCAGTAAATAAAAGACTGGGACTTACTTTAATAAAAGACTACAAAGTACAACTTCACTCGGTCTGGCTCCGTATTTACTCATACCGCCAATTTTCTATCAGCTGCTGCCACCACAAGTCTTGACTAAATTTTTCATTTCAAATTTCTGCGGATGTTGGTCCAGCGGGGTACCATGACTACCACCTCGTTCTTTGGTCAGGGAGCTGGGTTCATGTTCATGTCTCACTTTGAAAACCCTAGAATTGACCGTTTAAACTATCATGGGTGATCACACTCTTGAAGTCAATCTGGTCCTCCTGCGGCCCTTCTCTGTTCTGCGAGTGCCCCTCAACCATGGCCATATGAGCTTCTTGTTGTGCATACGGCCGGTCAGTTAGCAGAAGAAACCACCTGGAGGCCGACACTACATGAGCTTGAGCACATGCACGGCCTAACGGACTCAATGGAGGCCTGTGTACCAGTTTACTACGTCGCAAAAAGGATCCGACGGGGCTTCTAGAAATGTGGGACAAGTATTCTGTTTTTTCTTTTATTAGTTCTTCGCGTTGAATAATTAGGATGTTTTCTTTTGGACTGAAATTTGCTGGTTTGCTCTGGTCTGTTTAAGTCTGGTCTGGTCTAGTAAATGTCTGGTCTATGCGTATTTTATAATTGTCCAAGTCTAGTCTGGTTTGATCTGGGACTAAACACAGTCCAAAAGAAATCATCCTTACTGCAGTTCTTTTATTATTAGAAGCAGGGGGTGGAGCCAGGATCTCATGAAAGGGGGGCCGGAGTGTTGACACGTTGTTTACCCTGAAGTTTAATTTTAACATTGTCTTCCCTTGAATTTGTTTTAAGTGTACACTTCATTGATTCAATCATATCTCATATTATGCAATATATTTTTATGATGAAATAATCACGCATTTACACCTCTAAAATAGGGCGAACACCACGGGGTAATGTGGATTTTTTTATTAACCATACCAGAATTAAAAAAAATGAGGGAGTCCAAAATATTTTACAAGATAAAATTTAATGAAATGAAAAAATTGCTGAGGGACAAAGAGTCCCCGTGACCCACTACTCATTATTCAACATGTTACATACTCATTAAACTCTTTAAAATTATTGTATCTATCCTTACAACTTTACTAGTTCAAATTAGGTGTTGTAATGCCCTTAAGATATTTTAACTCCAATTCAAGTTAATGCTTCATGTCCTTCCGACTTCATCTAAATTTCCCTTAAATGGCAGGATGTCACTATCTTGCTCGCTACTCTAGTTTTCAGTGGAGACATGCTTTAATTATATATATAAGCCTTACTAATAGTATAACGAATTTCAAATGTTGGGGGGGGCAAGGCCCCCTTACCCTTAAGCATAGCTCCGTCCCTGATTAGAAGTTGTAATATCCTAGATTTCTCTCCTATCATCATTGGGATTTTTTGCTACTGCCAATATAAGGCTTATTAGTTGGAATGATAAATGATCTTTCAAGTAATACCTTATTTTTACGTTCGTTACCCCCTACTCTGTCTAGGGAGATAATGTTAGGTTATTCCACCATCCACCACGGGTGTTCCCGCCGTAAATTCAGCATCCCATCAGAGACTGGAAGTTGACAGCATCTCATCGTGGATGTTCACTTGGATTTTTTTCAATATTGCTGATAGCTTATGTTGTGCCTTAACAGAATGTTTTGAATGTCTTTAGAGTTTAGACCAACGGATGGGATCCCATCCTAAACAACAGGTGGCAACACGGTACTGTATACCAGATTTTTTTATATCAATTTTATTAGTAAGGGACTTTGAGTTGATTTTGTTATTCCAACTGGATAAATCAATTGCCAGTCATCGGAGAGCAATTAAGGGAGGATCAGTTGTCCAAATGAATGGTAAAAAGCGTGACACCTAAAGCATTTGGATAACATGTACAGTCTTTAAAGCACAAGTAGTGCAAAGCATCATACCACATACTTCTCTATGGAAGAGAGATCACCCGTGCTGCAGTTGATAAATATATACAGTGATGGTGGCTTTTCAGAGTGCCAATGATCTGCATTATTGACAAATGGCTGGTGAGATGTTAAGCTTGTCACAGTTATCTATGGGACGTTCTGGAACAAGGAGAACCAAACCTTCATTTTCATCCTCAAAATCAAAATCCAAAGTTCGACTCACTGATCTGAAAAATGCTTTCACAGGACCAACAGGTACATCATCCAAGGTCCCAATTGTTAAACAATCAATCTGAAAAGGTACATTAATAGAAAGTTCTCAAAAGTTTATCACTACTTGATATCAAAATATATTTACACATAGTCAAAAGTTCTCAAACAGGTCACTCGCAATTGGCTTAGGAAAACATATTATATCGGAAAGCTCTAAACATGTAAGAAAACAACAGTCAATTCAAAAGCTAGTTGTGAGGGGTGTATCTAAACTCATGCACTTCTCTTAGGATTTGACACCTTGAGGCTATTAGAGCACTTGGTTCCTCTGGGCTTTGGATGTTGACCTTTCTATTTGTGTGCATTTGTCGGGGGGAGATCTAGTAAGTAGAAACTAAGCAGTGAAGGGATATGCCCCTATCTAGTGGAAGCATATGTCCGCTGCAATGCTTTTGCATTACACTACAAATATAGAAGATCAAATAACATCGTCCCTTGTAATAAAAAAATAAAAATAAAAATGTCCACAAAAAATTCAATGCTCTACTACATTTTTTGTCAAGTTGAATGTAACTTTTTATCCAAATAACAATAGTTTATTGCCGAAGATATTTTTCTTTGCAAAATATTTTCCTAAGGGTAGTCAGTAGCTCAGTCCTGTTCACAAGGTTTTCAGGAAAAAGATCACAATGAAAGTCAAGTTTCAATTTTAAATATAATTATAGAGATGACACAGATGATAACAACATTAATAATAATAACAGTAACCTTTAAAAATTAGTAGAAATGTTCTGTTTTACCGAGTCAAAAGCTGTTCTGAAAAGAGTTAATGCCCTACGCTTCTCTGGCTTATCAGCAAAAACCTTCAAAGTAATCAACTTTGTAAGAGCTAAAATCAACTCATTGAGTGAAATAAAAAACATTAATAAGTTTCTCTTACAATGCAAGTCCTTATTTCCTTCTTCTCTTGAAGCTTCTTGACAAGAGTCAAAGCAAGTTGAATATTGGCATCGCTAAACTCATCTGATGATCCCTTCACATATTCATGAACTCAAAAATGTCATGCAAATGTGAAGCTTTTGTCTCAATCACGAGGTTTCTATGAACGAAATAAAAAATTGCATAAGCTATGGCCAGCAAGGCATATGCATTTTATAATAAAGTCACATGATTGTTAACTGTCAAAATGTTAAACTTGATATATTACCTTATATGATGAAATATTGCTGGGCAAGGGACTGAGGATGCAACCATTGGAGAGTTGAAACATAAAAAGAAAACCAAAGAGTGGTGAAGTCAATAATGAAAGCTTGGTAGTTGAGAAAATGATAATCATTGTAACATGGAAAAAAACAAATGAAGCAAATCTAAGGATGTTTTTACTTGGACTGTAATTTGCTGGTCTGGTCTGGTTTCTTTGTATTTTTATAACTATCCAAGTCTGGTCTGGTCTGAACTGGTTTGGTCTGGGACGAATTACCGTCCAAGTAAAAACATCCCAAGGCTGCTTTTGGCATTTGGCATGAATATGGTATGAATGAAATTGTGATTCCCAAACTCTAATTCCTTTATAGCATTTGGCATGTTCATTTCATCAGAATTTGTTCCAGAAATATAATTTCCTTGACTGCGCCAAATAGCAGAAGGAACCAAAAAAATAGTTTCTTTGCATCAAAGTATAGCCAAACATATGATACAAATATCCTTCTCTTAGTTTCTAAATAAGGTTCGTCTGTAAGAATTTGTCCCCGTTCCAATGCACAAAACAGAGACTAGGGGTATGCATGATTATGATAAATTCACAGTTATCTGTTCAGTATACTCCGCCCTGATCCAATTGCGCTTTCAAGTCTCAAGAACGCAAAGCCAATTAGACCATGAATAATTGAGATAGAAACGAAGAATGCATGCTGATTAAAACAACATATAGAGATAGAAACCATAGAACTTGTTATGTAAATGATAGAGTAAAGAAAAAGGAACATAAGAATTACGGGAATTCTATTTCTAAGCGAGTCTTCCCATCGCTTAGAGCGTAAGAGAGGGAATTGGCGGCGTCAGATACCAAGACATCGTAAGACATCGGCTTGTAAAGTGCAACTCCAAGCTTGGGGTCGGTGGCTTTCATCTCTTTCTTGGCGCACTGCGTCAATTTGAGCTGTGAAGTTTGATAGGTTTGGGGACGCGGGTAAAGAAATGGGGTAAGAGAGGACGAAAAACGGAAATTTTGGAACTGAGCCCCAACGGCGGAAGGAGAGGAGGCGGCTGCACAAACTGACATTGCCATCGCTGCTTTGGTTGCTGGCAAAAGCGTGCAGGGAAATCCTCATCCGTTCTCAAGATTAAGATGGATAAAAGAAATTAGAAATTTGTAATATTCTAATGTCGTGTAAAGACTAGTATCAATATTCTAAATTTGTAAAGACGAGCAAAAACTTTTTGAAATTACAAAAAAGAATATCATATCTTTTATTCCTTGAATATGAGTAATCTGTCAAGTTTGGGAAAAAAATGTCATGTGTAAAGACTAGTAATGCCAAACTTATCAAAAACTTACTCTTATTCAAGGAATAAAAAACATGATAATCATATTTTGGAATTTCAAAACTTTTTTACTCCTATTTAAGGAATTCTCTCTGAACAAATCCGTTTTTGAAGATTTAAATGAAGTTCACTATTGATGGAGTATATGGGACTCCGTCACTCAGAGGAAGAAATGGGCTCAATCCCTTTACATTGGGGAGGTGTCCCACGTTCCCCCCAGCCGAAGAAGCAGCGAACGGAGGCGATCACCTTCACTGACAAGGATCTGCCTCCAGGTACGGAGTCGCACAGAGACGCCCTCGTCATCCGGTGTGAGATCGGTGACTCTATCATTCACTGCACTTACGTTGACACGGGGAGTTCCGTCAACGTGATGTACCTGGACACCTTCAAACAACTGAAGTTGGATAAAGCTCTGCTGAAGCCGATCAAGATAGTCCTCCCCGTGGAGGTCGGCGACGGCTCCCACCGCGCCAAAATTGACATGGAGATCATGGTGGTCAACCTTCAGTGCGCCCACAACCTGATTTGGGGGCGGCTAACACTGGAGGACCTGGAGGCCATCATCTCCATGAAACACTTATGCTTGAAGTTCCCCACCAGTGGCGGCATCGGCTACGCCAGAGGAAATCAGAGGATAGCCAGGGCATGCTACCTCAAGCTAACCAGGCCGGTCGAAAGGGAGGGCCAGAGGATAGACACCATCACGACGACCGTTGCCAAGGACGAGGAGCGACCGCATGCTGAACCGGCCGAAGAGGTCGAGGAGGTCCCCTTGGATATCTCTCGGCCGGAACGGGTCCTCAAAATTGGGAAACAACTCCCACAGGACCAGCGAGACGCCATCCTCCTCGTCATACGGTCATACGCCGTCATCTTCGCGTGGGGCCCAGACGACATGCCAGGCATCAGCCGGAAGGTGATCACCCACCTGCTGACCGTCGATCCAGCCTCCGCGCCTGTCAAGCAGAGGCGACGCTACTTGTAATACTTGAGATTTAATTTAAACAGATTAATAGTACTACTCATACCAACAAAGATGCATCTCCTTTTAAGGGAGCTCATCACCAAGAACTCCAAAGTTAAGCGTGCTTGCACGGGAGTAGTCTTGGGGTGGGTAACCCCCTGGGAAGTTTCTCAGGGCGCGCACGAGTGAGGACAAAGTGCGCGGAAAAGGCTAGTGGCGGTTTGTGAGGACAGTACTAGAGGTCAGAAGTAACTACCTCAGGGCCTGGAGGGCCGGGGTGTTACAGGTGGTATCAGAGCAACCCTGCGACAGTGTGCTGATCCGTTGGATATCGGGCAGACACTTAGCAGGGGAAAAGATTCTGGGATATGATTGAGATTGGTTTATGGGCGCAACGAGGACGTTGCGTTCCTAAGTGGGGGTGATTGTAATACTTGAGATTTAATTTAAACGGATTAATAGTACTACTCATACCAACAAAGATGCATCTCCTTTTAAGGGAGCTCATCACCAAGAACTCCAAAGTTAAGCGTGCTTGCACGGGAGTAGTCTTGGGATGGGTAACCCCCTGGGAAGTTTCTCAGGGCGCGCACGAGTGAGGACAAAGTGCGCGGAAAAGGCTAGTGGCAGTTTGTGAGGACAGTACTAGAGGTCAGAAGTAACTACCTCAGGGCCTGGAGGGCTGGGGTGTTACAGGTTTGCTGCTACTAAGAAGTACAGTTTGAGTTTAAAGTGATATTTGGATCGATGATCCCTTTTAAGAAGAAGTTATGGTAGTAGTAATCCCTAATCATTCAAAATATCTTATTCAGGGGTAGTTGGTAGACTGAGTCCCGACTACTCGTTACGACTCACTACTCGGAGGGCTTGGAATCCCTTTTAGGGGGTGTGCACACTTAAGGTAGTCGTTTCGTTTCCAACAGAGCAGTTGTGGTACCGGCACTTGTTCGGGGTGGCCGTCCGTAACCACGGTCCACCGGGCTCTACCGAAAGGTTGAGCACCGCCCTTCTAAATTACTAGGAAGTTAGAGAAGAAATGATTTTTGAGGAAATCAAAGAGAAGAGTTATTATGAAGTTTTATAGAGAAGTTGAGGATTGTTGTAAAGAAGTAGTCTTGAGAAAAATCAAAGTGAAAAGAATTTTAATGGTGTGAGTATTTTTATATATTATCATATAAAAATTCTATTTTTGTCAAACATGATTATTTTACGGGGTTGGGTAGTACTTACTTAGCTCTAAAGCTAATTTTTGTTTTCTTTTCCTTGTTTTGTTTCTGCACTTTATTTGTGCAGGTGAGGATGATGTTGTCGAGTGATGATTGCTTGCACGGCCGAGAGCGAGTTAGAAGTCGCCTTAGTTATACTAGTCATGAAATAAACATTTACTTTTCAAACACTTTACTTTTATTAAATTAGTTGTTATGTTTTTAGTTGCCTGTGCATCCGGTGGAGAGATGACCGGATGTGGCGGTAACACCCATTTCCTATTTTAGACTTCCGCTGTATTTCTTCAACTCTTTGATGAATAAATAAAAGTTTTATTTCAATTATGTCAACGTTTTGGGTGGGAAATTTGGGGGTGTTACACTACTTGTCCGCCGACAGGCGAGACTTCGTCAAGGGGGAGGTCACCATGCTCCTCTCGATCAACCACATCAAGGAGGTGAAGTACCCGACGTGGCTAGCTAATGTCGTCCTCGCCCAAAAACCGCCGACATTCAGAATGTGTGTTGATTACACTAACCTGAACAAGGCGTGCCCCATGGACCCGTTCCCTCTCCCCAACATTGATCAGTTGGTGGATGAGACGGCGGGATGTGAGTTGATGTCGTTCCTTGACGCCTTCAGAGGGTACCACCAGATTTTCATGCATGAAGATGACGCTGAGAAGACGGCCTTCATGACCCCGGAGGGAGTTTTTTGCTACCTCGTCATGGCCTTCGGACTCAAAAACTCCGGCGCCACCTATACCAGGATGGTGGCTAAGGTCTTCAGAACAGTCCTCGGCCGGACGATGGAGGCATACGTCGATGACATGATTGTCAAAAGCAGGCGAGCCGCCACACATGCTGACGACCTCCGGGAAATTTTTAAAATCATGAAGGAGTTCAAACTCCGCCTCAACCCCAAGAAGTGCGCCTTTGGCGTCCAAGGCGGCAAATTCCTCAGCTACATGGTCAGTCGGAGAGGCATTGAAATGAACCCGGAGAAGATACAAGCTATCATCAACATGGAGCCGCCCCGCAACGTCAAGGAGGTACAACGGCTAACGGGGCGCCTGGCGGCCCTGAGCCGTTTCCTCTCCAAGTCAGCCGAGAGGTCACTCTCTTTCTTCCACATCATGCGCAAAGCAAACAGCTTCAAGTGGACGACGGAGTGCCAGGAAGCATTTGAGGAACTGAAGAGGTACCTTTCGTCCCCACCAGTGCTCTCCAAGCCCAAAGTCGGCGAAACCCTCTTCTTATACTTAGGGGTGAGCACGTCGGCCATCAGCTCTGTGCTCATCCGCGAGGACGAAAGGGTGCAGAAGGCCATATTTTACATTAGCAAAACACTCAGGGAGGCCGAGCTCAGGTACTCCCCCATCGAGAAGACGGTGCTAGCCATCGTCCACACGGTGAAAAAGCTGGGGCACTACTTCCAGGCCCACGCCGTCCACGTACTGACCCAGCAGCCCCTTGGCGCGCTCATGAGGAACCCCACTAGCTCCTCGAGGATGGTGAAATGGGCGATCTTCCTCAGCCAATTCTAAATTGAGATCAAGCCAAGGCCATCTATCAAAGGGGAAGCCTTGGCCGACTTCGTCACTGAATGCACGGCAAGGGAGGCGACCGCTACCACCCCGGGCCAGAGCCAGATGACACGTGGATCCTCTTCACCGACGGCTCGTCGGCCGCAAAATCATGCGGGGGCGACATCGTCCTCATCTCCCCTGAAGGATTCAGAGCATACTATGACATCCGCTTCAACTTCAGGGTATCTAACAACTTCAGGTATGAGGCCCTCCTCAGCGGCCTCAGACTTGCCGCTGGCCTCAGAGCCAAGCACATCAGAATCAGGTGCGACTCCAAGCCGGTAGTGGGCCGGGTTGAGGGTACGTACGAAGCAAAGGAAGGCCGGATGAAGCAGTACAAACAGGCAGCAGAGGAGTTGCTGAAGGCGTTCGAAACCTACGAGATCACACAGATCCCAAGGGCTGAGAACGCCAAGGCCGACATCCTCTCCAAGCTCAGCTCATATACTCTGGAGCACATCTCCAAGTTAGCCAAGATCGAGGAGCTGAGCATGTCCAGCATCCATGCCAGCCCCATCTTGTGCATCCAACAGTGGCCGGAGGACTGGATCTCCGACATCACCACTTTCATCACCACGGGGGAGCTACCCCAGGACGAGGAGAGGGCCAAGTTGGCCAAACTCAGGGCTCCAAGCTACACTATTGAGGATGGCAAGCTCTACAAGCGATCCTACAACGACACCCTCCTCTGATGCCTGCACCAGGATGAGGCCGAAGTGGCCATGGAGGAAGTTCACTGCGGTGTTTGCTCCTCACACCAGGGCCCTTTCAGTATGTCCCGGCGTCTTAACATCTAGGGCTTTTTCAGGTCGACGATGGCGCGGGATTGTGCAGATCTTGCCAGAAAATGTACCATGTGCCAAGTGCTCCAGAAGGCCCCTCGTCGGCCAGCCGTCAACTACGCCCCTGTCAGCACTGCCATCCCATTTTCAAGGTGGGGGATTGACCTAGTCGGCCCACTACCCAGAGCTGCTGGCAACAACCGCTACATCATCGTCGCAGTCGACTACTTTACCAAGTGGGTCGAAGC